CTTTTGGCCCTGCTGACTAAGTCCCCCGAACATCTAAGTATCGACCCAGCTCAAGACACAAGTGGGCTTGACCATCCCGAGCCAGGGGTCTAGGTTTAGGTGCTGCAGCTTCAGGAGAACCAGCTCTGAAAACCCACATCTCGCCTCGGTTCGACACTGAAATCCACGATCCCCGATTATACAGAGCCACGTCAAACTTGCAACCCTTTCCGCGCAACTCATGGTAAACCAGAAGATGTGCATACCTTCACACGTGAAGCTTTCACATGTGGAGTTGGTTCGCAGATGTTCTCAGCTAGCTTTCTTCACATGTCAAGAATCCTCCCTAGTGCCCTTTGCACCGACCGGCACAGGCCGGACAACTCGACATTGGCTGCTTCAAAGTCCTGTAGAGCTTCCCGAGCCGCTGCCAGTACGCTAGGATCGGTGCCCTGCAAGGCCTCGAGCATGCTGACACCCTTTGTGTTTGGTTGTAGTAGTGTACCCAAATAGGTCTCCGCAAAAACTCGGTCAGGCTCTATGCCGAAGTCCTTCATTTTCTGGTATGCCGCTGTGAAGTTTCCCAAGTCCGCATGCGTGTAAGATTTGATCAGCGCCGTGAAGAATATCAGCTCTGGAGCAAGCCCCTGCTCTTCCACTTTACGCAGTAGAAAATTGGCTGCATTATGGCTTACTCCCTCAGCACTCACGCATGCACGAACCGCAGAAGTGAAGTGAGCTAGGTTCGGTTGCAGCTTTTGTTTGGTCATGTTGTCTAGCACGGTTGCTGCTGAGACAATGTCCCCTTCTTCTGCGGCTGCATCAATCCGCGCCCCTGCAAGGGGAACATCCATGGCGTTGGTTTCCAATGCCTCTGCCCAAGTCTTGCGGACAAGCACAGTATCTCCGGCTTTGGCGAAAAGCTTGGTTGCCAGCGTAAAGACCGGCAAATTCTTTGGCAGCCCCATCGCACACAGATTGTTGTATACCGCCACTCCACGCTGATACCGGCCACACCGGAAAGCGGCATGCATGACTTGACTGTAGATTTGTGAGGAGTTTCCTTTGTAGCTGCTGAAAGCGGATTCCACGCCGTCCCAGTCACCCTTACGAGAAAAACGTTTCAATCGATCCAGTAAGCGTTTGTCAGCCTGGCTCAATGGCAGTGGCGCAATGGCATCACGGGCTTGAGACCGGAACTTCGCACCAGCCCTTTCCCGCATCAGGCTCAAGGGCACTTGCTTCGGCTGGTCGCCGCTATTGCTGGCTCTGCTTGTCTTTGATTCCGACTGGTGGGAAGGTGTAAGACAGGATTGGACGACATGCGTATAAAAAAAGCTTCTGCCACCGCTCACGACAAAGCCAGCCAAAAAAGCGGAACACAGCAAAA